GAGAGGGAGGGAGAGAGGGAGGGAGGAAGAGAAAGAGAGGGAGGGAGAGAAGGAGGGAGGAAGAGAGAGTGGGAGGGAGGGAAATGTTTTCTGATTACACTCCAGAGTCAAAGTAAAAATCTTCCATTAATGTGAAGCGATGAAACAAACTTCTTCTTCTCTTGTATCTATTTGTGTGTGTGTGTAAGTGAGTGTAGGTGTGTGTGTGTGTGTAGGTGTGTGTGTGTGTACCCAGGGTGAGAGACTTGTGTGTGGAGCAGAACACGATGGCCACAGTGTCTGCAGGACTGAATCCTGAACCCGACCTGTGTAGACAAACAGGAAGTTAAATACTCGCTCTGACCTCTGACCTCTGACTCACTTCCTCTTCTTACTGAGCTCATCTGTGTTTATATTTAATACAGTGTGTGTGTGTGTGTGTGTGTGTGTGTGTGTGTGTGTGTGTGTGTTAGCTCGACTGTAACAAGGCAAGACATTAAGAGATGAATAGACTGAAACTATGAAACAGAGGAGGAGGAGAGGATGAAGGGGGATGAGAGGATGGACAAGGTGGCAGAGGAGAGGATTGAGGATGAGGAGCAGGAGTGGATGAAGGATGAAGGAGGAGGATGGAGGAGACTCACCTCGTAGAAAAGGCAAACGTGAGCAGCATGAAGCTGAGCTGGATGAAGAAAACTGAAACAACAAAGAAACAACTTTTAATGTTCTGAGATGTTAAACTATGTTTTCTTTAAATGGAGTCTGGTGGCAGAACCACAGACAGACAGACAGAGAGAGGGACAGAGGGACAGACAGAGGGACAGACAGACAGAGGGACAGAGGGACAGACAGAGGGACAGACAGACAGAGGGACAGACAGACAGAGGGACAGAGGGACAGACAGAGGGACAGACAGATGGACAGAGGGACAGACGGACAGACAGAGGGACAGACAGAGGGACAGACAGACAGACAGAGGGACAGACAGAGGGATAGACAGACAGAGAGGGACAGACAGACAGACAGACAGACAGACGGACAGACGGACAGAGGGACGGACAGACAGACAGAGGGACAGACGGACGGACAGAGGGACAGACAGAGAGACAGAGGGACAGACAGACGGACGGACAGAGGGACAGACGGACGGACGGACAGAGGGACAGACGGACAGCGGGACAGACAGGCGGACGGACAGACAGAGGGACAGACGGACAGACAGACGGAGAGAGGGACAGACGGACAGAGGGACAGACGGACAGAGGGACAGACGGACAGAGGGACAGACAGACAGACGGACAGACAGACAGACAGACAGACGGTACTGACTGATGAGGACGACCAGCAGCAGGCTGATGGGGTCCAGCTCTATGTTGGGGTTACTGAAGGTGTCACAGAAGGTGGTGTAGATGATCATGAGGAGGACGGTGCTGCTGACGGCGCCGAACGGAAGCTTTCTCCGCTCCAGATGTTCCCTGAAGAAACCACGACACACCTGCACAAAACACAAACACTCACACCACAACCAAGAACATATTTAACCATTTTCTGTATAGAAACATATTCCTACCTGACCCAGGATCAGAGGGACCACCACAGTCATGAAGAGCTGAGAGAAGATGGAGACGAAGGGAACGGAGGACGAGGAGCCGAGCTGGAGGAGGAGGAGATAAAACTTCATTCATCTGGAGTTAATCAGAGAACGATCAGGACATACTAAGATAGTGACGGACGAAAACCAAGATGGCGACGGACGAAAACCAAGATGGCGACGGACGAAAACCAAGATGGCGACGGAGAAACAGGAGTCTCAGGTGTGACTTACAAACAGCAGCAGCAGCACTGGAGTCACTACGATTCCCTGCAGGACACAAATACATTATTGATATTATGATTATTGTTATTATGACTAGGATGCTTCACAAAGCTCATGATTTCTTACCAGGAAGCTTCCAAACGCTGAGTTGAAGATGGCAGCAGCCTAGAGGATCTCACACACACACACACACACACACACACACACACACACACACCTTTCAATGCTACACCATCTGTCTGCTGTCTGATAATGACCTCCTAACGTCGGTGTGTTGTACCTCGTTGCCTCCGACAGCCTTGGTGAGAATAACCGCCGAAGAGACCGGAGGGGGCATGCAGCTCACCGTCTGTAAGCTATGCAAGAGGAGGGGGGGAAGAGGAGAAAGAAGAAGAATCTTCATCATCTGTTTCTAATGGTAAGAACATTTCTCTTTCATCTACCGCCATCCTTCAAAGGTCAGGGGGCTTTCGGGTGAGGCTAAGGATGAATTTAACTGAATATATTTACGGCCAAAAGCCAAGATGGTGACGGACAAAAACCAAGATGGAGACGGACAAAAACCAAGAGGGCGACGGCCAAAAACCAAGATGGAGACGGCCAAAAACCAAGATGGAGACGGCCAAAAGCCAAGTTGGTGACGGCCAAAAGCCAAGTTGGTGACGGACATAAACCAAGTTGGCGACGGACATAAACCAAGTTGGCGACGGCCAAAACCAAGATGGCGACGGCCAAAAACCAAGAGGGCGACGGACAAAAACCAAGATGGCGACGGACAAAAACCAAGATGGCGACGGACAAAAACCAAGATGGCGACGGACAAAAACCAAGATGGCGACGGCCAAAAACCAAGATGGCGACGGCCAAAAACCAAGATGGCGACGGCCAAAAACCAAGATGGCGACGGCCAAAAACCAAGATGGCGACGGTGTAAAACCACGTTGGTGACGGACAAATACCTAGATGGTGACGGCGAAAAACCATGATGGCGACGGCGAAAAACCATGATGGCGACGGCCTACATGCAGAACTCGAGGCTTTAGAACTGTAGTCCATAAACCGATTGATGACATCACGTTGACTACAGTCTATGGTTGAGACAATAGAAAAACTCTCAATCTCGTATTTAGAACCTTTACAATGTTTTATTTCTAAATTTCTTTTACGAAGATATTAAATCACTAGAAGTTTACGTTTGCTTTTACACCACAGACGAGGTCCTTAAGGTTCCCTCTTCAAACCTAAACCAAACCGGCTCTAACCTGAGCCGTGAAACAGATCTATGATGGTCCTCATAAAGATAGATGAATAAGTAACACACACACACACACACACACACACACAGAGCGTGGCCCGTAGCAGCAGTGAATGAGGGTCTTTGTGTCCGCACATAACCTTCAGGTACAGTCTGAACAAAGCACTGCATTCACACACACACTCTCTCACACACACACACACACACTACCCTCTGAGCAGCCATTGGTTGATGGCGGTGAGTGCGAGCACTTTGAGCAGCAGCCAGACGACCAGAGGGAAGAAGACGAGGGTGAAGGACTGGACGAAGAGGTGCAGCCGGAAGTGAAGCAGCGCGCTGGTCAGCTCCTGCAGACGCAGAAGAAGAAGAACATTCATCCTCTGCTTCCATCACTGTTTTAAATAAAGGTTTTACGGTGACGTTTCGGGGTCTCTCACCTCGGTTTTCAGCGACAGGCCGCTGTTGAAGAAAATGAGCGAGACGGCAACGTAGGCGATCGTGATCTCTGGTTTTAACGGCCCTGAGAGAGAAAATAAATGTATTAACCACATAATAATATTTAATCTAACTTTGTATACTTTAAGAACATGTTGTTGAACATTTTCCTTATTTTAGTTGCAAAAATAAAAACGTTATGTGAAGTTATGACACATTCAAAACTTATTGATTACATTAATGTTACCAGGGCTGCAAATAACTTTCTGTTAATTCAGCGTTATTAACATAAATATATAAAAGAAAATGATAATAAAAGGGAAAACATAAAAACAAGAGAAATCCATTCCCTTGTACGAGTTATAATAAAAAAGATTATTTATTTTATTTCAAAATAAATGTCACAATGTGATTAAATGAAGGAAACATAGAAATACATTATTATGAAAATATTATAAAAAATAATCAACGATATATTTTTAATCAGCAACGAAGAACACATTTGTGACGCGCTCTGTTCAAAAGCACTCGGCTGATTGATGCAGGAGTTTACGAGGCGCACCTGAACGCAGCATCCAGACAGTAGCAGCATGGTGGTTTGATCTAATCTACAGATGAAGAGGTGAGGCTGAGCTCTGCTGCCTCTCACACCTCTTATCTCACATACAAGAGGTTGTATCTACTAACTCCACTTTCTACTATCAGGTGAACAGCTACAGGTGGGTCATACCTGAGAAGATGCAGTTTAAACACGAGGACATAAAAGCATTTCATAGGATGTCAGCCAATAAGATAAGGCAACCGTGCACGCGCACAATCGAGGGTGTGTGTGTTGACATGCATGCTGAATGCAACGTGTCACTAGTGCCAGGTGAGCAGGGAGGACACACACACACACACACACACACACACACAGAGAGTCTAACAGCCCTTAATACACGTTGTACGCTCTTGTACTTGAAGAACCAGACTCCATTTAGAAAATGTCAAAATTAAGAGTTACATCCGTTTCCAGCCCTTATAACCAATAGTTATACAATTAATTTGTACCTTAACATAATCAACACGAGCCTACCTTTCTATCGGCGTACATCATGTACACGTAAACCACGTCTTTGACTAGAAATACAACCATTTTAATCCCTTATCTAGTGAGTACTAATACTGCTAATACTGGACGTCCTGGGGGCGATGGGCGAAACTAAGTTCACTCAGAAGTCGAAAAGTTGTCATTTTATTAAAAAGTAAAATGCTGACAGGAGCAACACTCATGCCGATGTCTTCAGTGAGTCGTAACAGTTACTTTAAAGGTCTTAAGTGTTCCTCTACGACATGATGTCCGACTATAAGCAGACAGTAAAGATAAAGAGGTCAAAACTCTGCCCAGGTTTGGTACAGAAAGTAGACCCCAAACTCCGACTCACTCACCTCCTCTGACGCCGACGCTGGGCTCCAGTTTTGCCGCTAAGATGACCAGCACTATCCCGATGATGAACCACTCCTTCCGAGCCCTCGCCAGGAGGCCCATGTTTCAGCCGATCCACCGGATCACTCCGCCCGGGCCGCCCGTCACTACCAGCCGGACTAGAAGTCCACAACTCGGAGCGCTTCTTCTTCTCTTTTCTGTCACAAAACAGAAGCAGATACAACCGGAGCTACATCCGGACACGTGATCCACACAGCGAGGCCGTAAAGACGGAAGGAGAGGCGCAAGCGCAGTTTAGATTACCGTAAATAACGAATAAATAGGTAAAATAAAGACATTATAAAAGAAATTATAAAATAATAAAAATAATAAATAACGCAAACTAACTTTCAAACAATTCAACAAAAATATGGAAATATAAATTTAAAAAAGCTTGAAATTAAATTGGTTTAATTGTTCAAAGCCTTAATAAATAATCAACTAAAAGAAGAATTACCAATAACTTAATGATCATAATGAGGTCAGTCAAATGAAAATAATTAGGCTTACAGAAATTCCATGAATAAATTATCACACAAACAGTCTAAGTTGAATTAATAAAGTATACAAATAATGTACTTTATTACAAAAATACTAATTAAAATAATTATGAAACAACATTGGTTTATTAGTTTTGATTGATTAGTTTCTAATATAATTCAACAGTTTATAACGTTACAGTAAGATAAATAAATACTTCTTATCGTCTAATAATAAAACTACACAAACTAATAAAATGTAAACAGTTTTTAAATGGAACAAAAATTGGATCACAGATGGTGTTTAATCATTTTTATTCAATACAACAGTAAATAATCACTGCGTACAAACAAAACTGTTGAAAAAAAAAACTGTTGAAAAGAAAAACTTTTTTTTTTATGCTAAACTGCATTTAATTTGTACCTGAAAGAATCTCATCTAATCGTGCTGCGTTCATGAGCTTGAAAGAAAATCTGAGATGTCATAACTCTTATTGATCTGGTGCAGAGTTGGTCCCGGGCAGCAGTGACTCTGTACCGGGTCCCTGACGTCCTCTGGTCTCTTTCCAGACCACCAGGCGTCTCAGGGCGGCGGACCAGGACGCCTGCACGTCAGCGCTGTGTTGGCTGATCAGGGAGTGAGCGCGAGCACTCGCCAACGACACCTGACGGGAAACGTTGTGACAGAAGAAGTGCTGCAGGTGTTTCTGATGATGCTAAAATGAGCATCTGTGTGTCAGTTACTCATCTTATAGACTTCAGGGTGAGTAACTGAACTGTACCTGAACTCTGTGCAGCAGAGACACGTCTTCAAGTTTACAGAGGACTTCAAAACTCTCCAGGAAGTATTCACCCGCTCTCTTATACTGACTCTATAGAGAGGGGGGGGGTATATATTAATTATTTATATAATTAATTTGTTATTATTACACAAGGACATTAAGTAGCAACCCTGCATCAAAACAGTAACATTGTGTGTGTGTGTGTGTGTGTGTGTGTGTGTGTGTGTGT